TTCACCAAATTGAGCATTTGTGGGATGAAGTTGAAAGAGCCATCAGGCAGCTGGTTCCACAACCATATAATTTCACAGAACTGGACAGTGCTATTCATCAGGCATGGTGTCAGATTCCTCGCATCACTTTTCAACATCTCGTGGAGTCAATGCCAAGAAGAATCGCCTCAGTATTGAAGACAAAAGGTGGCCCAACGAAGTACTGATGGGGTGGTAATATCTCTATAGGTTGAACTTGATGGACATGTGTCTTTTTTCAACCTGACTATGTAACTATGTAAGACTAAACACAGTGTACACAACTGTGTTTGTAAAACTGCTGTATATATGTAACAAAATTACAAGTAAAAGAAACCATAGACACTTCTGATGTGTAGGAAAATTACAGTTTATAAATGTGTTGCGCAAATTAAGCAAAGGTAAGCTTGTATCATATACAAAGTCTAAAGCGGTGGTGGTCAACTTCCGCTTGCACTGTCCAGTTAACACTGCAGTTCGTGTTTAGTTAGTTGCAGTACAGATCATAGTTAGCTGCAATGCAGTTTTTATAGTGCCACATGGGAAATAACTGCGATCATATCCAATAAAGATTTGCAATTTGTCTTAGAAGACTACTAACACTGTGCAAATGCCACCAAGTAGGCACACAGTGGAGTCCCAGCTGTGCAAGCCTGCTGCAATTATTGTCTCACCCTGCGAGAGTTGTTTACTACTCTGCCACTGCTACTGGTAGCTACAAAAATTCCTAGGCATTTCAAACTGAGCATGCAATAAAAAAACATAATCAGAAGTTCAATTAAATCCATGTGTGAAAACAATCAATACATGTAAGAATACAGTTTGTTAAATTATAGTGAATCTCAACTTTGCCTTTAACCACTTCAAGACCAGGTGTTTAGACCCCCTTCCTGGCCAGGCCATTTTTCAGTATTCAGCGCTGCGATACTTTGACTGACGTTTATTCCGTCATGCAACGCTGTACAATGCGCCCTGCAGCGCGCGCAAGGGGGCGTGTCTGAGCGGACGTCTAAAGACGCCCGCTCAGATCTAGAGAGCTCCTGGCCGGCCCGGAGGCAGTTAAGTTAAGTTAAGTTTGGCTATGCCCCATCAAATCTCTTGAGCCTTTCTACGGTCCTTTAATGTGATGTAATGCATCTCTACCAGCAGAGAGGCTCAAAAAGCAGGACAGGGTAGGACCAAGGTCAACTTTTTCAAGAAAGGTGGACCTTTGCATAGATTTTTAGCAGCCAATTTTCAAGCATCTGCAAATTGCCTTTACATGCTGTTTTAACAAATTATTATCCACCAGAAAACTGCCAAAAAACTACAGCCTAAAATAAATTTTTCTTTCATTGTGCATCCATGAAAGATCTTTTATACAGTGATGATTTTTGGACAAATTAGCTTTAAACTAATCAACTGTTTTTATGGGTAGTCTAAAGGGTCTATTTATAAATGTATTTACACAAGATTCTTAGAGCTTTCACTCTAATTGGGAATTCACATTTTCCCAATTAGATCCAATTTTAAAAAACGTGTAAATCTTGGGTGAAAGTTGTGCAAGTCTTGTGTGAAAACATTTATAGACAAACCCCTAAGCCTTGGTAAAACACTGCTATTGCAATATTCTAGCAATGTGACACCTGGAGTTCACAAAATGGATTCAGCAATACAGAACTTTGTCTGGAATTGAAAACTTCCCCGTAGCTATAATATTATGCTGCAGAATCAGATGGATTCAACAAACAGAAACATGGTTCAGCACAAGTTATATGTTTATTGTCTTGTGCTCTAACTAGGTTTTACTTGTACATCAGGTTTTCTTGCTTAGTAACTAAGTAGGTAACATTAGTCATGGCCCACATATTACAATCACCTGAAAGTGATGTTTTTAGGCCTCTTAATAGTGTACATCTTCAGTTTTAGCATCCTATCCAAACTTTAATTTATAAAAATGTGTTACATATATTACTTTTTGGAACACATTCTACTGTGAATTCAGCTGATTTAGATATATTCCCGAAAGCACTCTATGGTCATAGGCATTGTACAAATATAGTTGTAGTCAGAATAATAAAAGTTGGTTACTGACTGGTTGCTGGACATTAATAATAAACATTACTGTACTCTTTCACTAAGGGGAGCATTTTTTAGATTTATTTGTGAATTGACTGTGCTTTTTCTAAACCATTTTTTTCTAAACTACACGTTTACTTTTTTTTAAAGAGTAAAAAAATTAGCAAATCAGCATATTTTGGAAGGTGCAAACATGTGTCTGTTCTATCAACTACACAACTTCCATAAGGGTCTCATATCTTTAGTTACCGTAATAAAATCTTATGACAATTCAGTGAATAAAGATGTTCAATTACCAACACAATAAAAGCAGTAATGTCCAGTGGTACAGGGCAAGCACCCCTTGATTAGCAGTGTGTGACATTACTGCAGTCCAGTGCAGGAATGTCTTACTACTGCTGACCAGCCCATCATACTTTCACTATAAAATGCTTTGTTTTGATCTTTCTTCACCTATACACAAGCTAATTATTGCAAGCGATCTGTAAATAATCGTAAAAGGTAAATGAATGTCATGTAGATAGTTAGCATGTATGTAAAATGTAAAGACATTGGACAAATACTACTAGAGCAAACCTTTAAAAGAATGCCATTATAATAAAGAGCATATATTAGACCGACATTAGCACAAACAAAAACCCTTTTCAACAACTGTTAAATGACAAGTGTAGAACTCAGAAAAATAACATTGACGGACTGCAGACATTTATCAAGTGTAACTAAACCACAAATTAAATTTTGTTCTTAGCTTGCCAGCAAGTTAAAAGAATTAAATGCCTAATAACTTTTTCATTGTCACTGCCAACTTGTGTGTCTTAATATCTGTAATGCAGTGATCTGTTGCCAGCACAAGATCCAGCAAGCAGCCAATACTATGTCCAGAGCAGCTGACTTTACTTACAGTATACTCACATTTTACCAAAGATTAATGTAAGAAAGCACATTCCATAAATTAAAAAGGGATAAACTTGCAGATTTATATAAAATACTAAAATTAATTATATAAAATACTAATATACAGTGTGTGTGTGTGTGTGTGTGCATACTGTGTAT